TTGCCTTCATTAATTATTCAATTCCAATTTGACATATGTCAATTCTAGATTGACATAAATTCCAAATTGACATACAACAATTTCATCAAAGCCGCTATCCTGCATGTACTTAACATCTTTGCTAATTTGTATGAACTTGTCCAATATTGCATATACGTCGTAATAGAAAACTAAATAATATTCCCGAGTAGATGGCTCTTGAGTGATACCCATGATCCAAACATCAATATCTTCGGATATTCTTCAGTTAGCTATTTAACAAATGCATCATAAATGCGCAAAGCTAACATTGTTTACACGTGAAATTATTTACCTGATAAAAATCAGCATCAACTATCGGTTTGAATATTATTTTCGTTGATTGCCAATCTGCTAGATGCGTGCATCCGTGGCGTGATGTCATCGCTTGTATGTTTGTCAATAGAAAGTATTCAATCCATTGTATATAAGAATCATATCTATGTTCCGTATTACTCCATGATTCCATTATAAATGAATCCAAAGAGTTGTTGCCAGTCGTCCAATCAAGTGGTCTTGGTGATAACAGAATGCATTTATCATACGTATAAATATTGCTGCACAATTCCTTCTTCGATTTTAATAGACAATACTATTGTTTACTTGCTTCATATATGTAAATCCAATGGCCCAAACATCCTTGGTAAGAATATCTGGATGCTCGTCACGTAACTAGTGAAACGATACGCTATATTATGTCATTAATTACCCAATAAACATGACGCATAATTAATAATTAAATAGTTATAATATGAATTATTCGTTTTATCTGTTACCTCGAGTGGAATGAAGTTAACTGCTATACGATAATCAGTAGGTAGACCATACAAGTATCCATATTTTTCTTCCTCAGCATCAATATAGTCAAATGGAACCCATTCCAAATAGGGTTGATTTGGTGAGTTTGTTTGTAATTGAGATTTCTTAATAAACTCATCGAGTTGCTTATCGTTACTAGTCCATCCATTGGATAATTGTTTATGTCCACAAATGCACCACACAGGACTCATCGGAGTATTCCATACGCGGAGCAGAATCCATATCGAGAGTAACAATGGTAAAAGCGTTGTATAGCAGCCATATAATAGTATATGTCTTCATATTTGGTAAAATCCAATTATGAGTTTGTTACGACGATTAAGTTGGAATATCTTCTGAACTGATTAACATCGTCACTGTTGTGCGCATGTGTCGAAAGTGAGTATATTCTGGCAAACTCACTCACAAGTGTTTGTGTACACTCTTCGCTACTTCCAAGTAATACCAGCATTGTTGGCGCCTCATAAACTTTACCATTACCCAATGTTTTTTTTTGAACGGCGTAATTAATGGATGTTGTCAGTTTGACTTGACTTTAGGTCAGTAATCTTTGAATAAGGAATCCATTCAAGTTTCTGATATTTACTTGCTAAGGACGATTGAATGAGGCCGTCAATTGTTGTGTAAGTCTATCGAAATTGCTCTGAAGTAAAAAGATTTTCGATACAACTCGGAGACGATTTCTGTATAACGGAGGAAGAATCCTTTCAATAAGGGCAGATAGCGATATTATATGTTTTCTTATTACAATAACGTAATTATGAAATATGATAAACCTTGCACGCTTACCGCAATAAGTATTTCATAATATAACAGTTTTCGAATCGTAAACTGACCCAGCATTCTATATAGTACAATTCTCTTTTTCGACATACTAATACACTCCCTGGAAAAAAGTTATGTAGTTTTTTTAAAAGCAATTATCTTTATTTTTTATATCTAGTTGTCCATCCATTGGCAATGCATGCTTCTATTCTTCCAGACATGCATGCTATCAATTAAGTTAAACCATGTCTCTTTTGAAATTCGCTCCCATTTTTTTCTCCAATTCTTTAAGGCTTTTGAGATGTTCAGGAGGTTTATGCAAGCGACGGTCAAGTTCATCCTATAGATGTTCGATGGGATTCAAATCTGGTAATTTAGAGGGTCAATCTACCAACATTTTGATATTTTTCTCAGCGATCCATGCCTTACGTTCCGCGCTGTGTAGATGGAGCATTATCATGCTGGAATTTATAAGATTAACGATAAACCTTTGAGTAAATAAAGGGCAACAAATTGTCATTCAAAATGGTGATGTCGGTTCATATTTCCGTTTAGCTTAGAAATTAAGGCATTTGATTACTAAAATCATTCTCAATTTTTATTACAATTCGGAATAAAATCAAAAAAAAAACCACCGCATAAACTTTTTCCGGGGAGTGTAGGTGGTATCTGATAACTGTAGTACTATCGCTGATTATCGCGTATTGGTGGCTATAAAGACGTTACTTGTTGCCAAAGTAAAAACGAGAGAAAGGTGTTATTCTCTTGCGTAATTTAATGTTAACTCATATTTTGTAGCCTATTGAAATCAAGCTCTGTCAATTTCCTATCACATAGATATAGTTGTCACCTTGTCGGTGCGTCGAGTTGTAATTATTAATACAAGTAGTTATTACTGTGCAATAATGACACAGCATGTGCACACCCGGATGATTTTAACTACGCAAAAATAATCTTTGCAACAACAGAGCCTCATTATTCGTGATAATAAATATTACACTCTGATTATGAGAAGCAAATGACTTTGATGATACCAAGGAATGTCTTTCAACACTTAAGGCACATTACTGGCAATGCGAATTTGGACAATCATTTCCAAGTTTTATTCAATGCTCCAAAGTGCCATTTCCCCGGTTGTTGTTTTTTTCGGATAAACCAAAAATTCAAGGGACTAAATAGTAACAAGGCAAATCTTTTGAGAAGCACGGGAATATACATTAGTGAATAGAATTTCTACACACGAAAATGACGTAGTAAACGATCGTATGACTATTACTGTATAGCCAACCTCGGCCCAGCTGACATAGTCGGCTGAAATGGCTTGGACCTCCATTTGATCACTTTAGGTTATTCTCTATCACTATTTCATCACGACGTGATCATGACGTAATCTATTAAAATATTACTACTTATGGTATCCTATGAATTTTTTGTTATATAAGGTATTTGCAGTCGGCCGACCAGACAACGAAATTTTTACCATATACTGTATGTTTCAACCAATACGGACGATCATCAATCGCTACGTACGGCAAAAAACAACAACTCAGCCCCACGATAAATACGTCAATATACAAACAATACTTAATTTATTTGGATTTGCCGTAGCGATCGATGATCGTCCGCATTGGTTGAAAAGCTGTCTAAAATAATAACCCTTGTTCGCCAAAAAAGAATAAAACCAACCTATTTTGGCGATCTGTAAATTCCTTTGAACAAGTTGCCTTTTTTATATACATATATTACAAGCATTCATAATCTTGTATTGTCAATCCCTCTTTAAATTCACACATCCTACCTTCCAGATGGTGAATTTTGACCATAAGTATTGACTGAGTCAAGAATGGTTTTGGATTCGTTTCTAAGCTGTAAAATATAAGACCAATATACGCTGCCAATTTTAAAGACATTTGTTTTTAGAAATAACTTTGAAATTAATATCTCGAGAATGAATAAAGCAAAATCAATTCGGGTTTTTGTACGATAAGAACGTAATCAAAAGTTAAAATGTCCGTACATTGACAACATAATTCCCAAAAACAGAATTTCATCTAATAAAAAGACGAGAGTTTAAAGCTCTATCGGTAACCTAGAGTTGTCAGAAGAAACACTATTAAAACATGAGCTGTTTATTATCAGTTTCAACTCTTGTCTCTTTGGCCGTAGGAAATTTTGCAAATTAGAATAGGCAGATTTTCTTACTTGGTTAGCATACATAATACACGTGGCCCATCACGAATGGGCGTAATCGTAATACGCCTAATAGCGAGGCATTATGATCTTTTTCAGTTAGAATAAAACCGAGTAGAATATTCGTTGGTTTATACCATGTGCATGACACACAATACTATGCTCAATATTGTTCATGTTGTTTGATTCCTTGGCGTTGCTTCCGCCAATATTTAAAAATGCCTCTTGCTACTGCTCTCAAAGCAGCATATTTTCACAATCATGCTGAAATGGAGTTCTCAGGTAAGATGTCTTATAATGGCGGCGTATTCTGAATACACTAAATGCACTCCTTACTCATTATTAATTGTATGTAGGAAGATGCCGCCGTAATCAATCTCTACGAAGTGTGCGGCCCCCAATGGGTTACTATATCCCGTATCCTAGGCACCAAGTCTGCTAAGCAGTGCTCACAAAGGTAAACACGTTACATATGCATTTATATAATATCCATTGTATCCTACTTATTGACATAATTTTGAACGATAAATTACTCAAATATTCATGTTGATACAGATGGCATAGTACGCTGCGTCCCGGAAGTATGTAACCCTTTAGATTTACATATTGCTGTCACTACCGTTATAATATAATAACCGTGTCGTTCCAATTTTGAAATAAACTAGTTAACAGAAGACCGTTTACTACCATTGAACATGAAGCGGTTAGACGGCTGTATTGTGTGCATGGTGCCAGGTGGGCCAGGATCTCCTCAAGCCTCCCTGATCGCAATCCGGGGATGGTGAAAGCTAGCTGGGAGGAAATGGAAGAAGAAAGAAAACGGATCCGGGCTCGAATGTCAGTAGCGCGTCTGCTAAATTAACGTTTATTGCTACTATTATATGTCAATTGTTCTATATTAATATGCAGATATTAAGATTAAGCTTTATAAAATTAAGTAACATGTCCACATGACAATACACAATAAGTAATAATCATCACAATGTTGACGTACGTGCAATAATAATAATAATAATAAACAAACTCTATTACGATTGATATGACAGAACTGATAACGTTTTTCTGTAGCTAGAAGTATGTCCGGTGGTTCTATTCATCATACGATATCTCACTGATACAGTACATTTGTACGTGGTTAACTCATAAGCAAGCTTTACTCGTATTACAACATTTGGGTAAAGGAAATCAGTAAATGCGGTGAATAATGCGATAAACGTTTGTGATAATAAGATATTTCATTGATGTGGGTTTCCGAAATTTGTTACAGAAATCGCACGAGTATGGTAACACTATTGAAATTATGGTTTACAAAACCCAATTTCAGATTATCATGATTATCACGTGTATATTGATGCAGGAGACAATTATAGTTTTCATATTATTATATTATAGACAATCTACAGAATACACGTATTAAATGTCTGTCTCATGGAAAAGATAAAGGAAAGTGCCACGTATTTGAATAACCTTGAAGCATGTCATATTAATTATGCTAATAATACTATCAAATGGCAAATACAAGAAAGCTGTTCATGCTTGTACTGAGAAGGTTCTAACGCTGGAAGCATCAAAGTATGGCTCAAATGCAAAGGTTTCTATATACTCTGTGTGCTTGTCATTGAAAGCTTTTGGCGGATTGGAAGCGTACTCAAAGACATTCTTCGACTTGCCAATCAAGCAAACGAAAAGATTGGTGAGTTATTCAGTGCATTAGAAGGTATGTTTATGTTGTGATTAAACTGCGTGACAATATTGAATTTCCAGTTAAAACCTTGAACCATCCTCAATACAATTCAACGCTCGAGTATTGGTTAACTTGTTTGTGGAATAAGATTGGTAGATATCAATGCCAGAGACGTAATTGGCTGTCGAGCCAAAAATTTAATTGCACAGTATAGAATATTAATATGAAAATTGCGGATGTAAGTCTGATTACAAGTTACCAATACCTACGAAGAAATTAATCGCTAAATTAAAGTAGAACCGAATGAGGAATTTTCTTCCAAATTCAGGTCTTGCGTGGCTTATTGAAATCAGGCCCAGTCGATTTTCCTCACTTGGATTATTTAACTATCAATAATAAATTCTCACAATACGCAGAGGGAAAAAGCTAAATACTCGTAGTTACCCATGTTTCTTAAATAAGATTATGGATTACTAATCGGTGTGAAAACTACCAAGCCTTTATTGTTATCGATGAGTTTTATGACAAAGTCTTGAAATAATATGATCATGCTTGTTTGTATAAGATTTTCGAATAACAGGTCGGGAACAAATGTAGGATCTTCTTAACGTACACCGGGTGTACGGTTTTAAATTTAAGTTCTTTGATTTAGATAAGACAAATTATTTCTTTGGCCGGAGTACAGCACGTATTATGAAAGCTCTAAGCGTACAGTATATACATTACCATCTATTGTTTTGATGCTCAACAGTTAGATGAAGTTTTGTTCATACTATTTCTACTATTTCATTTGAGGATAATAATAAAAACAGTGTCATCATGGCAAGATAGTTTACTAAATGTGTGTCGGGTTATTTTATTGTAATTAATTTTTTCCACGATGCAACAATAATAAAAGAAATACCAAGCAATGACAATGGACGAAGTATTACAATTTCACTGAGTGTTAAAATAGATTACAATCCTTATTATTAATCAGTGGCGTTTGATAAATCTTATCTCAAAACATTGAAGATCAGCACAGCAAATCTGTTACGTGATTGGCGTTAATGAAACTGGTCATTACGGTTATTATTATTATTATGGAAATTTGACTAGTAAACAAATTAGTATCATATTCATAAGCCGTTAGCTCATAATTGCTCATTCATTAGCAACAAGGATTGATGACACACTCAGCTCGTGAAATATATTCATTAATATCATATTTGTTTTCGAAAAGTGTATAAATAGGATTGGGAGACAGCCAATGCTACAATAGTTGCAATTAATTTCAAAGCAAAGTGTAATTATATAATTAAGCCCATACTTTCATGCATAAAGCTAACCAAATAGACCCTTCAATGACCTATTACTATATTTATTATGGAAACATCTTAAATAGAACTATCAGCATGTAACTCTATGTCATGTGATCCAAATAAGTTATGGTGTTAAAGAATAACATAAACAGTATTAATCAGTTTCTCCTGTGCACCAACATGTCCTCGTTCAGCAGCTTTTTGATACAATTCAACTGCGTTTTTAGCATCTTTTTTCACACCAATTCCATTTTCATAGCAAACACCAAGATTAAACTGTGCAGTGGCATGTCCTTGTTCAGCAGCTTTTTGATATAATTCAACTGCCTTTTTGGTATCTTTCTTCACACCAAGTCCATGTTGATAGCAATAACCAAGACCATCTTGTGCAGCAGCACATCCTTGTTCAGCTGCTTGTTGATATAATTCAACTGCTTTTCCAACATCTTTTACCACTCCAATTCCACTTTTATAACAATACCCAAGATTGTTCTGCGCATCAGCATTTCCTTGTTCAGCTGCTTGTTGGTATAATTCAACTGCTTTTCCAACATCTTTTACCACTCCAATTCCACTTTTATAACAATACCCAAGATTGTTCTGCGCATCAGCATTTCCTTGTTCAGCTGCTTGTTGGTATAATTCAACTGCTTTTCCAACATCTTTTACCACTCCAATTCCACTTTTATAACAATACCCAAGATTGTTCTGCGCATCAGCATTTCCTTGTTCAGCTGCTTGTTGGTATAATTCAACTGCTTTTCCAACATCTTTTACCACTCCAATTCCACTTTTATAACAATACCCAAGATTGTTCTGCGC